AATATTTTTTCAAACGGAAAGCGCCATTTTACTCAGAAATGTCTATATTTTCTTTTATGACTGGTTTCAACAACTTCTGTGAGATACATTTGAGCAGTGTTCTATGTAACGTAGTCGTCGCTTATGTGAAATGCCTCATAAGAAAATAAAAGAAACTTGTCCTCTCTACTCTTCCGTTAGTTGACAGGTAATCGAATTCTTACATAATCGAATCTAATACGTTACAATGAGATATTTGATGATTCTCTTCTAATATTCCTACTTCTTTCTAATTTCACCTCCTTACATCCACCATAGGAGTTCTACGACGCAAATCAGATAGCGACAGAAGACTCCTTACATAAGACAATCTGTATTCTTCCTTCGATTACTATAAGTCAATCAATGACTTCAGACTTCTTTTGTACCGAAAGCGTACCGTTTTACTACTACGGATACAATCAGGACATGGATCATTCGACTAGGCAGGGCATCGCTGACTATCTTCATTGAGACGCTAGACTTCACTTCGAATTTAAATGTTTCTAATTTGTACTCTTTCCAGATCATATGAACGGAATTCTATATGTGGTAATTTAAGCCATCTGACGAGACCCCTGAGAAAGGTCGAAATGCGTCATGGCTTCTCGACTCACACCCACACCTTCACCCTCACACCTCATCTGATAATTCTTGTTTAGTCAAGATGAAATCGTGATAATGGCAAACTAAGATCTCAGCCCTCGCCCTCCTTATCGAGAAAATTATTGAGACACGTTTTTTAACGACAGACTTAGGTTTGCTAATAGCCCAATTGCTGGGAAAAATTGAAAATATGACGCCCAAAACGTCGTTGCGTTACACTTGGGCAAGGGAATTTTATCATTGTTCTTTTCTCTTGCTCTCATGCTTTTGACTCAGGTGTAATGAAATATGACGTCAAGTGTGTAATTTCGACATCAACAAGATATATGCTTTTTTCACCATATTTTGTGAAGTAGCAGAAATTCTTTTAACTACAGAATTCCAAAAACTTTTAGTCATTACAGTCAACCACTTTACAGCTCTACGACAAGCGATTATGGATGATTATGATCAAAATAAACATTTTGAATTTGGTACAGACAATCCTACATTGATGGAAAAGCCGTTTTGGAAATACATGGTATGTAATCCACATTTAGGTGCCTATGATGCTCGCAAAGAAAATAACGGTGACTTTGTTGATGACAGTAATGCTTGGCGTCCGACATGGTGTTTTGCTCGATTTGGAGCTACACAAACTTATTTACCGGATGGACGACTGATTCATATTGGAGGTGAACATGAAGATTGCTACGATTCTGACTTTCAAATTTATAATGATGTTGTTGTTATACGAAATCCCCGGATGGTACGCGCACACTATATGTACTCGTTGCCTGTACCAAGTAACTTTCCAGTGGAAACAAAACAGAATGCCGCTTCCTTAGAGCCAGAAATATTAGGAACATCGAGGCCAGAAGATGTTACAATCTATGGATATCCTGAACATGTATTTCCACCGACGGATTTTCACACCGCTACTTATGTCAAGAATAGTGACGATGAAGAAGATTTCATCTATATTATTGGTGGATTGGGATATTTAAATTCTTCTCACCGTAGAGAGACCCACGTCTATCGTCTTGGTCTATCGGACTTTAGAATACACCGGATGAAAACGACAGGTATCGGACCATTGGGGTGTACGGAAAGGCATCGAGCGGCATTAAAAATCGTGGGAGGTCGAAAAATGATCGAAATCTGTTTGAAGGACCATCAGTGTTACAGATTGGACGTTGAAACTGTTGTATGGGACACGATTAGTGATTAAAACCTGGGTTTGGCAAACTGTATCCATATCTAACAAAGGCGTCTAGCAAATCAGTTTACTTGAGAGAACCTTTAAAAAATTATGATTTATTCATTTAGGATCGGAATATATTTGGAATATATATAAATGTAAAAAAATATCAAAATCTGAAGTGAAAATAGCTAACTCTAAGAATTTTGGTCCGGATTTTGCTAAAACTATGGCACACCAGCCATAAAAAATCCTTAGTAATAGAGAGAGATCTTGAATTTCTTTTTTGTATTTTAATAGAAATTCCATCGGTTCAATGATATTCAATAAAATAAAAATAAAAAATACTCAATAGTACCCATCTCCGATCACTTGCCCACGTCATATATATATATATGTCTTATGTAGAAGATTGTACAGTAGAAAACGTTTTCCTTGTGGAAACTCTAAAAAACATAGACCTTTGATTATGAAAGAGCAGGTTGTAGTTCGAATGGGTATGAATGTAAAATATATCAAGTTTGGAATGCATAATAGTGAACCACATTGGTTTTCATAAGTGATTTCCTTAGACTGTAATACAGTGCATGTATAACAGAAATCATAGAAATCTTTTTTCATCAAGAAAATTCTAAGAGGATCAAATTTTATTTATATGAGAGGACGACTTGGGTGCGGGTGGGTCGAGAAGCCAGGATCGCGATTTCACCTTTCTCGATGATCTCATCAAATGGCTTAGACTATTAGAAAGACGAATCTGTTCGTATGATCACAAGGAGTAATCACAAACAAGAATATCCAAGTAATAATCATCTGAACAGTTGTTGTAAGAAAATTCCAAAGACAAAGAATTTTCAGAAGCAAAAATCAGACAAAGGTTTCATAGAGGTAAGTTGAGAAGCCAGGGATCGCGATTTCGTCCTTTCCCAAAGGACTCATCAGATGGCTCAGATTATAACGAAGACGAATCTGTTCATATCACTCGGAAGTCAGTAATAAATCTCCTCTATCTGAAAACGAATTCGAGTTCCTGCCAGAAATGATGAACAGAGAGATGAGGGATGAAAGAAATGTAGGTGAAGCGAAGTAGGAAGGTCTTCATGAATTCTCGATTGGTTTAAGGTCAACGCAGCGAATGAGTTCAGAATATTTGAATATTGAATTATAATCTGGTTTCATTTATTCTGTTCTGTTCAAAATCAATGGATATGTTCAGCAGTGTCAATAATAGAAGTTTGTAGAGGAGTATAGGATACATAGACGAGTGGTAGAAAATAATTTGTCTGACGTTGTTGGATTGTAATGAGTGCAGAGATATGTTCAGGTTGGATTAGGAAGTGATCGGTCACTGGGAACTACTACCATAAGTCGGTGTTTTCGGCGTTGTTCCAACGGATCTCGTGGTTGGTAGTTTCGCTATGGTTTCGCTCGACGTTGTTTTCGGGAGCATGGTCGTTGTGCCTTTCGATATCATTCTTGGGATGATCGACATTGTACCTTTCGATTGCTTCTTAATGGTTTCAGTCATAGTGTCTGTTCATTTTTTCATCGGTGTGTCTGGCATTGTGTCGATAGACTTTGTGTTCGGTTTTTTTGGCTTTGTCCCTGTTGATACCATTCCCGGTTTAGTCGATGAACGAAGATTCACAACATTGCTGTATTATTCAGGTATTTCATGTATCAAAGGAAGGTTATCGACCGGTGTAGTTGTTTCAATTGTTTGATCTATAGGATAAATGCATATCAGACGAAGTCCGTCGTTTTTCTCAAACAGTTAATGTGCTGTTCACATGAATTGGTTGATTTATGCCTTTCTGGAACTGCAGTTACCTATTTGATAAAAGACAGTAATATCGATTATTATCATTACATGTACAAAGGATACATACATCAATGAATGCACTATTTAATCGATTTGGTGTTGTGGCGGTCGAAGATTCGCTTTCATTGACCCGTTGTGCTAAGAAAAATCCAACAGACCCATAGATAGTAAATCATGATATTGCTTCCATTCTTAAAATATACTTACACGAAGCTTTCGCTTGCTGATCGGCCATTCGACAAAAACTCTCATCGTTCACCAGCTTGTCAATTTCTTAGCTCAGCTTATATCGAAAATATCTCAGAATTTAACAACGAAAAACAAAAAGATGAATCATAATAGATGGAAACACAAAACAGAAACAGAGAATAATGAGACGATAGTGTAAACTCCAGTCAGAAAGAATACAGCACTATATTTGGTTGAAAAGGTTTTATCAAACTCTCAAATCATAAATCGCGAGATCTGCGGATACATATTGAAATGAAATTAGTGTCTTCTACATGTACAATCGGTGGAATGGCCATACTGTTCAAAGAGTTGTGATCAGGCATGCAACGAACCCGAACGTTCGGGTTCGGGTTCGGTGAAAGAGTTCGGGTTTGTGTTATGACCCGTTTTCGCTAGGATTTATGAGTATGTTGATTCTTAACAAAACACACTCTATGCTCGCTTGCTACTCCGCACACATAGAACTACATGGTATTTATATCAGATGTTCAGTGCAGGGTGGAATATGCCCATAGATACTGCTGGAAAAATACATGAGTTATTACATCACAGAAAAACCATAAAGGAAGAAACCAAGAGAACACGTTAAGGAAAATACCAGGCAGAACGAGAGAAAAGAAACAGCTATAGTGACTAACATATATATGTAGGATGAAAGAAAAACAAGTGTCTTATGGCACATGTCTAGTATGTGCCATAACAGGGTTCACGTTCGCGTTCGGTCTTCAGCCTAGTCAGTTTTGTCTCCGATTAGGAACAAATAGGAGCAGACCTGACGAGAGTTTTACTGCTCTTGGTAAAAGACCAAGGTGCGAAGAGAAAAACTGACCGAGACTCAAGAACAACATTTCTCAAAAAAAGTGTCTCAACGATTTTTGAAAATTTACCAACCGGAACTCCGAAGGCGAACGCGAACAGTTCGGGTTCGCTATAGAAGCCCTTGAATCGATCTGAAAATCCACAATACAGCTGCCCACACTGTGAACTACAAATACTGGTTTAATCACATGCGAACCTGAACGCGGACCTTCTGACCGAACCCGTACCCGAACTATTTAACCAAACACAAACCCAAACTCGTTAACCGAACGCGAACGTCCACCGAACGCCGAACTTGAGTTCGGGTTCGTTGCAGGCCGTGTCACACCATGGCATGGTAAGTTCCTATTTCCAGGAAATTCATTTTTATATAGATGATATATGGAAATGAATGATATACTTTCGTCTTGGATTGGGTTAAGAAATTCATTTTATATATAACTAATATATATGTATAGTTTCGTGTCGATTATCTTTGAAGTCATTCATCGTATCGTCTAGTAAAATTTTGACTATACACTTAGAATATCTTATATTAAAAGTTATCATCTCTCCGTAACTTTTAAATATATTTAAAATAAAACTTCAACCAGTTCGCAATTGTATAAATGAAAAAGAAAGAATAAAATTGATATAGCTTTTCGGATAAGAATAATTTGACCAATGGTTCTTATATTGACTGATTGTTGAAAAGGTCTGTTCAGCAATATGACTGTTAACACAACTGAACATATTATTATAAGATCGATGAGCTGCTCTCATTTTATTTCTACACATAATGTCGAGTATGGTTCTGCTCATGAAATGTGTCTATGACGAAATGAACGTTGTGAAATAAGTAATCACTAATTGAAGTGGACTTGAAATAATCGGTACCATAACCAGCATTCATGTACAACTTGATCGAACATACATTATCGTAGATAATGCCTTCGGGTAATTTAGCAAATTTTTCTAAAATTAGATGTCAGAAAATACAACAAACTAGACAGCGAATAGATCGGGTATAAATTTTGTCTCATGTATGTTTTCTTTTTTTTCTTTTTCGTCATGCTTATTAGACCTGTTGCAAGATGAAGGAGAAGGAGAAAGAGAAAGAGAAAGAGAAGAATATTCAAGCTTGTATACAAGCTTGAATATTCTTCTCTTTCTCTTTCTCCTTCTTCTTCATCTTGCAACAGATCTATTCTGTGTCACATATGAATATTTATCTTCTTCTTTGGAAGGAGAACGAATAAATTTATCGTCTTTAGTATATGAATATTTTATTTAGTTACTTTTTCGTTAAATGTATTGAATAAAAAATATGTGCATACGATTATTGTGGAAATAATCTTTCATTTCATGCATGTAGAACTCACAGAATTGTTAGTAATATGATATTCTGTCTTCGAATTGTAAATATTATTCAACTTTTTGAATCTGAAATTTGAATATTCAAATTTTCAACTTTTCGAAAGATGTTTTGAATATTATTAAGGCATACATAAATTTGCAATTGCTGTGTACATAGCTGATTTATTTTTATATATAGAATTTTAGTTACTATAGTGCACTGTGTAAATTACGAATTACCGTCACGATCAGACGTGATCGTGATCGTATAAAACTCGAATTTTTTCTTTAGTTAGGAACCGTAATTGAGGAAAAAATTTGTGGTCGTCTAAGGTTCCATGATTCACGATTGGAGTATATACTAGGCATGCATCGGTTTCGGTTATTAACCGAAAACCGACCATCGGTTATAACCGAAACCGAAATAACCGAGTATCGGTTATGCACTCCTAGTATATACGTTTAAGATCTCAAATATTTATTCAGAAATTTAATATTCACATTTAATCAAAAAAGAATCTGACGATCCATATGGTATGTATGTTTATTAAAAAGAACAAAGTGCCTAACAGAGATGGACCTACGGAAGGTTGAAACCCAAAAAAATTTTTTCTTCTGCCTTGCAAAAGGTCAGAATAGGTTAAGAGTTGTTTATTTTATAAGTGTAAACAGCAAGTTTCCAACTCCAGAAATAGTGTTTGAGAGATTTTGAATAGCTAATAAAATCTAGAACCAAATGATGATGACAGTGTTAGCTAGTATTCAAATATACATTAAAATGAGCATAGTGAGAACAGAAAAAAGAGAGAACATAAATAAAATA